ACGTTTCCTTTTCTTCTCATCACCTTCCTCCTCCCTGTCACCCCCAGCCTTCCCTGATCGTTTTGGTTTCCTCCCCCTTGCCTGCAATTCGTTGTCCTCCTTCGAACGAGCTGTTTTTCTGTCATCCAAATACTTCTTGGTGCGGGCTGAAGCTGTGCTCAAATCACCTTCCCCAACCTTTGACGCAGGAACGCCCTCCTTCTCCCTACCAGATGGTTTTGTAGAGCTCTCTTCTGCAGGCTGCTTGTTTGGCTTGCGACCTCTTTTCTTCGGGGGGCACTGGATAGCAGCTGACACAAACATAGTACCATCGATGGCATTCATGCACGCAGGCCTCTCAACAGGAACCTCCTGAAGAAAAGAATATGAACCAACACTTGGAATTCAATGCCCCATGATTGAGTGTATAAGTTGACACCACATCAATCCAATCGTTCTCCTCCTTGGGGCCTGCCACTTGTGGAGCTGCTTCAGAAGCTGCCATTGCTCCTGCAGAAGAGGCCATGCATGAAACACACACCTGAGGTGAAGAGAAGACCAGTCCTTGATTGACAGATGGCTGCCCCTCCTGCAGAAACAAATCCAAACCCTTGTAATGCACAGTTGGGTTTCCATGGTCCATGGTCAACCAGTGCCGCTCCTTGTTCAAAGCTTCACTCTCCACAGGTTCTTTTGGTCCTGTTTGTTCACCATCTCAGATCTCCAAAATACAGTGCAATACACATTTCAATTCACGTCCTGGACAAATTCCTTCAGAAGGCTGCTCATGCTCACTCTTTAGCTCCTGAAATTGAAAGGGGTTGAAAATTCAAGGCCATGCTGGAAGCTAAAGTCAAAGATGCCACCTTCAAGTCTGGTAGTGAGGAACTTGTAGTGATTCCACTGCTGTCCAAATCTCCTTCGCAAAAGACCACCCAAAGAAAGTATATCTCGAGTACTCAGATTGCCTACCACAACTCAAGGACAACCCAATTTCTACCAGCCTCCGGGCTCTCCAGCTGGCACAAGTTCATCATGTACAGCCACTTCACCTACAGATACCATCAACACAAAACCCAGCACCCCAGAGAAGAAACAATTATGCAGACGCAGAGATGCAGAACATGCCTCCAGGGCTTGCGCCACAAGCTGCCACCAAGTTGTCGTTGAAGACCACCTCGTCCTGTTGTTTCACCCTCCAACCCCACAAGATAAAATTGATATGCATGCATGTATACCATATCAGTTCGTTACTATCATATCCTGGTCACAGTCCTGCTTAACAGCCAGCTCATCAACCGTCTCATCCTCCGCAAGAGTAGGCGGTCCTGCACCCAACTCGTAATAGAACAAATTATTCACCCACATAGAGAGCCTTATGTCCTTCCACGGAAATTCCATCAACCTTGCGTTGCTCTTCCTGCGACGCCACAATATGCGAATACAAACTGTAGTAAACTACAAAACAGATTGCAAATGCACATGATAAACCTGCTCAAAGGATTCAATGCCCTTTGAAAAGAACTCATCCACTTGGTGCACATCCATGGGCAGGGTTTCCAATTGATCAATGTTCCCTCCTGCAACATCGTTCAGAACCAAAGTCATCCAATGTTGACAAACATATGCCCACGTGTTGAATATTTCTGTAAGCTTAAAAGCACACCTGGCGGAAGAACTGGACTTTGTGGTAGCTTGTCTCGCAAGTCTTGAAGTCGATGCAAGTCTTCCATTTTCTTTTGAAGCTCCACCAAAACAGCCAACCTTTTCTTCGCAGCCTAAGACATGCACAACATGTATTATATAAAAACTTTCGAAACCATTAGCGAACAAGAGTAATTACATTGTGCAGCTGCAAAGTTTCCACTTTGGGCCAGTCTCCAAACTTGACCCCAGATTGGGAATGTGCCCAAGGTTAAAAAATATCATTGTGCAGACTAGGGACCACAACAGCTTCTGGGGTCAGCAAAGGTGGGCTGGAAGGTTTGGGAGGGGGAGTTTTGAGCTCATTTGCACTGGTGGCCCGAGAGGGTGGCCCTGAGTTCGGCAGGAATAAAGGATTTGGCTTCAAGTCCTCCATCAACCTTTCTGTCCCCCTTCCCTTATTGTCCCCTGTTTCTCCAGCAGCCACATCTTTCAGCCCATCACATTCCTCCAACCCATTACCTTCTTTCGGAACCTCACCGCATTCATGCCCGTGAGGTTCAACATGTACCTCCTCATCTTCCTCCTCTACTTCCTCTTCTCCTTCCTCTCCCTCCTCTTCTTCCTCTTCTTCCTCTTCCCCATTTCCATCTTCCCCTCCTTCCTCCTCATGCACTGGCTCTGGCCAGTGATAACCAAGGTCAGAAAGGTAGGCCCGCAGAATTTTGTCTTTCGGGGGGTTGGGCCGGTTCACAAGCCTGTTTGCAGTGAAGCTCAAGCAGCGCTTGAGCAGCCATCCTTGTTTCTCAGCAACAGGTCCTGCCAAACATAACTCCATCTAACAGAATCTAGCATATAGTCGTGCATATACTGGAAGTACAACAACTACCCAAATTCTTTCAAGCACTTGTCCTGGGCAATTTATCTTCATCAAATCATAGAGGGCAGCAACGTGGACCTGGCACGTCCTGACCCCTACCCTCAGCCCCAAGTGGTTGCCAGCAACAGTCAAGAGCCGCACGTTGTCTTTGATAGAATCTCTTGTAATCTCCGGTGTTAAGACCTTCACCTCAGCACATGCTAGCACATAACATGCATGAAATATCATGCATGAACATCCAACCGACATTAGTGTGTCAAGCTGGACAGGCTCGGTATTAAGCTTATAGGCAAGAAACCAGCTCCAATTCCTTGGCCATGGTCCTGATATGCCCAATCTTCTCCCATTGGACAGCCAAATTGGAGTGTGCCATTGCTAGCAGGTTGCAAGGGATGCAAAACTAAAAAGTAACAGCACCATAAAAGCATGCCAAGTGCATATGCACACGTTGGTATGCATATGTGTACGTGTATGACATGATTTTTAACTTGGAAGTCTGAGCCCGTGCTTCTCCAGTGTGCTCGCAGCTGTCTCACAAGCAAGCACGCTCACAAGACAGCACGTGAAGCAGAAAAGAAGGCGACACATGCAGAGAATGCATCCTGCCTTGTCAAGGTTGGGAGCCACTCAAAGCAGCGAGGATTGACCCCAAAATGCTGCAGAGTGGCAGCTTCCCATCAATTTGGGATGAATCATGATGCAACCTCTTGAAGCTTCCACAAAACTGACCCATTGGTACGTTTTGTCCAATCTTCATGTTTTGGACCAAATCTTTACGCTTTGCAGGTGGAATTGTAAGAAATAAAGATAGGTCAATAAACTTTGACCAAAGGAAGGTTCAGGTAGACATTTTTAGTAGGGATCTACTTTTTGCTATGCTCGATTTATTTGAGAGTCGACATAATCTTTGTTGACGAATAAAACCTTGCATTGGAAGAGGTTTCACAATCCGAGTGGGAGGGTATTAATCAACAGCCTGCTCAGTCTACATGAAATTGACCTTCCTACTGGAAGGCATTGAAGAGATTGAACTGCGTTGAATCCCTCAACAGAATCTCATTTAGGTCATTTCTGGGAGGGTCCTTTGGGTCAATTGGGTCATCGGGCACCAGGGGGGACTTCTTGAATTTCATCCGGGGTCATGCGTCTCTTCCGAGTGTCAAGGCCTCTGAAGAGAGGAGGGTGGTAAGGCGTTTCTGTGATGACCTTGAAGCATGAGGTAGTCGTTGAAGGACTTTTGCATATTGGTCAGGTAATGCTGTCAGCATAGCATGCGAACCGCCCCTGTCCCTTTGGATAGAGGTCACGCATGGGGTCTCCCAGGAAGTACGTAAAGAAACCCATTCAGTTGCACCAAGGGGCCAGCTATTTCAGGTATGGAGTATGGAGACACCCGTGTATGATGCACACAGATGCACACCTAGTCTATTGTAGATGGTTGATTCATAACCTCCCCAGGAACTGGATGGTAAAGAATCTTATACGGGTTTGTATTCTGCGGGTTTCTTCCAGGGCTTGCCGGATTCTCAATTTCCGGTGATATTGATCAATTGATCTACATGGCCCTGGCATGTACATGAACCGTACATCGCACTGTCTATCGTCCAACCATCCATGTGGCGAAACCCAGCTGAAACGGCAGTGGATCTCCAACTGACACGATACGACGGACGACTCGACTCGACCCCACGGCCCCTGAGGAGAAAGAGAAAGCAAACACCTCCTTTTTTGTATGCAATATTCGACTAGTGCCAAACAGGTCTGAGGATATGGTTGGAGCATGTTGGAGCCCTAGGGTATGATGCCATGTTGACCAACGAATCTGAGGCTCTTTTCCCTTGATCGAAGTCACTGGGGTCACTCCTGGCACGCGCTTCGCACGGCCTTCCTACTTCGGCATTGCCGACTTCAAAGTATTTGAGCCGACAAAAGGTGTCACCATCGTTCACCTGCAAAAAGTTGGTGCTGCTTGAATGGCGCGTGGTATTAACTATAGTGTTGATGTGTTGGTGTTTGCAAGAGTGAAAACCCATAAAGTCATACTGCTTTGCGGAAGTTCATCCATTTCCTTTGAGTTATGTGTGTCTTGAGCGTCATGTGCTAAGGTCTTGACCAATGAGTATGAAGCATGGAAAATCTTGGATGCGGACCTTCATCCTGTAACTGAAAATATCCAAATGATGATGAAGCTGCAGCTCGGATTCTATGGGAAGCAGATGTTCACCAGATGTTTTGTGTGGTGTTCAGCAGGTCTCTTGCCACAAGTACTGGTGGGTGATTCGGGCGTGCCACGAGCCTCGAGTACGATGCCACGAAGCCTCTCAGCCTCTCAGGTTACCGCGGAAAATCGGTGACAAGCACATCGTGAAGTTTTCGGAGGGCCCCTGCTCTGCGGACGTAAAATCGGATAATCGACGTGGAGACCAGAGCTGCGCCGGCCTCTTCGTGGAACTCGTGAAGCAACCTCAATTGGGCCTTGTGCACCAGGAGACAGTCTATTTTTGTCCAGCGAAAACCAAGTGCATACCTCCAGCAATTCTTTTTGGGTTTTTGGTTTCCCCACTGAAGAAGAATGGAACTAGGTGAACCCCCCTGTATTTTCCAGGGAATCTGAGGGAGTCAGCCATATGTTTGGGTCCTTGAACGACGAGCCGACGAGCCTGCTTGCTTCGTGGTTCGCTTGGTCGTCGCGCGTGTGGGGTGCGGTGATGCGAGGTTTCGCACTCCTGGTGGGTCGGGCCTGGGGCGTTGGACGTGATTGGTGGCAGCGACGAGAAGGACCCCCCAATGGTTCAACGATAAAGCCGGGCACTGCCCTGAGGACATGTCCTCAGGTGATGTTCTGAGATGGGTAGATGTAATCCGGGAGACCTTTGTGGCCGACAGTCGATTTCCCTAAGCTTCCACCAAGGGGTCTATACATGGTCTGAGCTACACAGCACATGTGTTTTGCCTATTTCTTCGACACTAGGAGTTGGAGAAGGAGATCAAGCTGGCGCATGTGTCCTCGAAAGGCTGCCATGCAGAGTATAGCCTCATTTGCCAGAATGGCATTTATGAGATCAAGGACCCGCAGTCGTTTCTGTTCTTTTTGTGCAGCAATCAAGCATGTTATTCTCAAAACGAGCCATGGTATACTTAGAAATTGTATGTGTATAGGCACAGAACGATCAGAACTTCCGCAGGAGGCTCCATTGCAAAATTTACCAATATCCTGCTACCAATAGTCTGTTTGGCATTATCCCAAGTACCCGAAAGCTAGCCATGCAGCTTGAGGAGTTCGTTGGTCTCAACACTAACTACATCAATTTTGACTCGATTTCCGATGTTATTTTCCTGTGAGGAGTCACACCTTTGTACCACTGGGCATTTTACCGGTCCTGGTCAAGGGACAGTGGAAGGAAGTTGGGAAGTCTGTGCATCTGCCGATTTCTCCTTGAGTCTTCTGACGCCTGTGCTGGATCTCACTTGGGATGTGGAAATCCCTCCGCACACGCCCGTGGAAGGTCAGTTGGCAGCAGTGGCAGGATCATGTTGACATGGGATTCTTCTTCTTGGGAGGGCTCCAGTTAGCTTAAGGTTTGCTTTGCAAAGGTTTCTTCCATCCAAATCAATACCAGTCTCAATCGCTTGGAGTATGGCTTTCAGAGGCTTTCGGTTTCTCAGCACCTGTGGCTTTTTGTTTCTCCCCCAAAACCCACATGGCCCCCCGGTCGTGCGACGCAAGCAACTATGTAGCACAGGCCGACCGGACCGTTGGACAGACCCCGGAAAGTGTCAAACGGCGTCCTTCGGTGGATCGAACCACGGGTGAGTCACAACGAGAGAGAGAGAGAGACGAGACGTGAACCACACTGGATTCGGTGAAGACGAAGTGCCACCGAACGGACCGAGTTCGGACCGAGTTCGGACACCGAGCGAAGAAGCACCGAGTTCGTTTCGGGTGCGAGAAGCTCCGAATCCGTGTTGGGGTTCTTCGACGAACAGATCATGACGAAACGAACGAAGACCGAGCGGTCAACGAGAGGTCAACGAGCGTGACATGGATGTGACGAGCGAAACAGGGTGTGTTCTGATGTGAAAACGCTTCCAACATCTTCCAACTGACTCGGCGCGCCACGACTGTCAGGCTGTCTTCGCGTGTCCTTGCCGGAAGAGCATCCTGAGCTGGAGAAGGTCCGCGGTACCATGGAGCAGCAGAAGCAGGCACAGCGGCTGTTCCGAACCGCTTGGGTTCCTGCGGTTCCCAGTGTTGGCCGCACAGTGGTCGACCACTCTGCCGCACGCCCATGAACCGTGCAGTGCATGGGGTTCGGAGACGGGTCATGAACGACATGATGTTTGGTGTTGTGCCGTAGTAGACGCACTTCCCATGCATCCACTGGTTTCCACCCATATAATTACTAATTATTGTTTCTACTAGCTTCTTGTTACTACTAGTAAGGCACTTGTTACTAGTAGCGATGCACTTGTTCCTAGTAGCTTCTAATATTCTAATTATAAATGCATGACCTGAAGACTTTCCCAGTGCCAGGTACTCATTGCCAAGAAGAAGGAGGCAGCTTAAGCTGCAGTGCGCAGTGCACAGAGAAACGGTGATTCTTCGAACAAGAGCTTGCTGGCGTTTTCCACCGTTTCTCCCCTTCATGCCCGATAGTTGCTGAATGATCATCAGAATCTGTTGCAGCGGCACAAGAGGTCATAGATATGACTCAATTGGGACTGGAATGCAGTGGTTTCAGAGTATATAGATGGGCCCTCGTCTAAAGGACATCATTTTGCCTCCATCTTCCAACTATGCCAAATGTATGTCTTTTCATCCATAAATCCATAAACCCAGGCAAAAGGCACATGCTTTTAATATTTGGAAGATCTAGCTATGCCTAAATTACCCACTGAAACCCCCCCAATGTAGTTGGCCCACGGCAGGTGTCAGGCAGGGCGTACCAGACATCATTTCAGAGCAAATTTCGGGATTTCCTACTCCATCCGGTCATAGAAATACAACAGACAACAAGACACCCATGGATGTTTCACCTCAACCATCACCCCAAACCTCCTATTCATGTCTATATCCTCTTTTTTTAAAAAGGACATCTATACCTCATGATCCACGAAAAACAACAACAACGATCTCCACACACCACTTGCGCACGCACGCACCTCGACGGCACTCGCCCCGCCCCCCTGCCCGGCCGATGGAGCCCGTCTCGGCTCTCGGCCCCCGAGGTGGGCGGTTGTCCAACCTTCCGGACGGCGGGGGACCGCCTGGCGCGCGCGGGGGACTTCGAAGGAAGTGGATTGACCGGTGTCTTCTCGAGGCGAAGATGGAGTTGAGAGGAGAGACGGAGACGGGGGGGGGGGAAGCCCAGGTTAGGTTAGGGAGAGAAGGGAGGGAGGTTGGTAGAATTGGTGATGAGAGTTGACGAAGAGTTATGAAATCTCATTAACTTGTGTTACTTGTATGATCTTGCATTAAATAGAACGAACGCGGTTGACATAATTTTGTGAAACCGATGTTTTTTTTCATGCAATGCTGAACCATTGTCATTTAGCTTGGTGTCGGATGAGGTTGGAGTCCATCGCCAGCAGGAGCCCATCGCTATTAGAAACAACAGAAATGAGGATCAAGGATTGGGCCAGGCCTTAAGAATCCTTAAGAACTTCACTTGGCCATTGAGACGGACTAGTTTTGGCATCGTCTCGTTGGCCTTGAGAGTGGCCTGCTTGGGAGACCAGCACATTGACCAGTCTACCGTCAGGGCATGTAAACGGGGCTGCCGATTAAAAGATATGCCCAGTCTACCGATAACCCATATGAGCAACCACTGTTAGTTAGGCTTTACTAAAGTAGTCTACGACAGGCTCTATTTGCTTGTCTATCATCACTAATTATATCATTATATAATGTATATTTATAATGTTATTTATATAGAATAAAGATGTGAGATCTGCATACAGGCTTCATGCAAGGTGCCACTGCTCAGTCTGTTCCACTGATGGTTTTCACACTTGTGTTCCTCCAATCGAACTTTGGGACAAAAAGACACCCTATTTACCGACCCTCCAAACCATAACAGTGTCTCCAATCACCGTACCTGAGAATGTACTTACTTGGATCGCTAAGGATATTGTAATTCTTCTGTTGATTGATCAGGTCGTGACTAGTTAGCAGACTACGGTCCATGTTGGAACCCTTCCTGGGGACAGTGTCCACAGCCACAGGCAGTACTTGAAGCTTTTGCAGAAGGAGACATGCGCCGAAACACACAAGCACGCAGCACATGCGTGTTTCGCCGCATCAGCAGAGAGAGAGAGAGAGAGAGATTTGGAGTTCATATGTCACAGATATTACAAACACTTATACATAATTATTGCATACAGGCTTTCATGAAAATCACATACGCCCAAGGCTTCTGGTGGGGGATCAGAATCAGACATCCAATTGGTTCATTGATTTCCTCACTGTTGAGACTCTTTTCCTTCCTGCTTGCTTCGTCGAGGAGCTTTCCAGTCGAGCACAGGTCTGGGCTCATGCTCCACCTGGGAAGAATCAAGAGTCCTTCATCGACTCCACGATCCATGTGGCCTCCCTCTCGACCTTTTTGCCGCTTGGGTTCTTCCAAAAAAGCCTCCTTTCTGCGGCACATGAACAAGTCCCAGACACGAATTGTCTGGGACTGCCAAGTCGGACTGCCTTCAAAACGGCTTCCGGGGTGGTTGACTGGGGGTCTGGCTGTTTCTCGGCAGTCCGACTTGGCAGTCCCAGGTCCGGGTCGTGTCTGGGAATCGAATCCACAGTCGTCCATCATCTGGTGTCGCCATCGAGAAATGCCATCATCGATCCGCGACAGGCGGATCCGGAGATGCGACCGGAGTACCCATTGTCCACGGTCTATGAACGGTCGATGACGGTGGGTTCAGAGTAGATGGCACCAGGGCCCCCCAAGAGGTGTGAACCCCCATCTAAAGGACATGTAGGGGTGCCAGTGCCATCTACTCTGAAACCACTGTATTTTGTTGTAATCCCCCTAAATCCATCATCCACTTAAGATCCATTAATAAACCTATAGGGACGGTGTCATTTTTGCAGTTGGGGCTTAAGGAGAGCACTAAATCGCCTGTTGACTGTGCTCCCGCCACGTACCACGAACCGCACCACTGCGTGACCGCGAGGCCTTACTTTGCGAACCGCACCACTGCGTTCACCACCTGTGCTGCATTGAACTGTGGAGAGCCAGTGCCCTTCATCGACGGTCCCATGCGTTTCCACTACGAGGCACCGGTGTTTGAAGAGGTTGGAAAGGTGGAAGGCCCTTGGACTTGAGGATTGAATCATATTGAATCCACTTACTGGTCTGATTTGGTTGAGATCTACTCCGTTGACTTTGGACTACACAGATGTGTGCACTGTGTCATGAATGGTGTGCAAGTGTTTCTACACTCGTGCACAACTATTTGAACCATTCCAAGATTCTGGGGGCGACGGAATTAGTAAGCTACTATATAGGGGCTCCTGGCCTTACTACTAGGAGCAAGGACGCTACTAGGGGCTCCTGGCATCGCTACTAGGAGCATTCTTACTACTGGTCTTTCACGGCTTCGAAACGCAGAACTCTCGTAATTACCGTTTTGTTCTTTTTCTTTTCCGTGCAGCTCCTGTGCTGTGGCAGCTCCGGAGCAGGAAGTGGCCAGTGCCCAAGCAAATCCCAAGCAAAAACGGGTCTTTTCCTTGGCGTCCACCACGCCCACCGAAGAGTGCCATGCTCGTTCATTGCCATTGCCCCTTGGGAGAGCAGAGACCGAAAAGAAGAAGGAGAACAAAAAGGCTCAGGGATTGGTTTTTGTTTTGGTTGGTTGAGTCTGAAGATATTCTTTCTGAACTGCTTTTTTGAAGCCTCATCTGACATGTGAGGACAAACATCAAATACATAAATAGAATCTATTTAGACCCTTTGGTATATATCATTATATTCCATCATTATGACTCTTCCAAGTTCAAATATCATTAAATATATATTGAAGACTGATTGGGACTGATTTGTGTCCCTCAAGACTCGGCTGATGTCCGAACTTTCCACCGTCGAAGCTTGGACATCCACGATGTGGAAGGACGGTTTCAAACGAAAACGGACTCAGTGGTTTTTTTTTCACGAAAAAGCAGCCAGATGTGTTGTAAAAGCTTTCCCTACTTTTTGATACAAAAGCCCAACCCCAGAAAAACCCCACAAGAGCCTGTGATGTTAAAAGCCACACATCCCCTCACCCACTCACCCACATCAAGCCCATGTCACGTCGCTGAGGTTCTACAGTAGTGGATCCCCAGAACACACGCAGTGGCGACAGCTGTTGGATGCTGCCGGCTTTGAAGAGATGCACAAGAAGGAGTGCAACCTTTACCAGGGTAGATGTCAAGGTTATATCTATGTTTTAATGTATTATAATCTATAATGTATGAATTTACACCATGCACATATCTTCAAACTTGAGCAGAATGTCAAGGGGCTAAACGTGTTCGAAACTCCATGGGTTATATATTATTATCATCAGAAACAAGACAATGATGATTGCCATAAAACGCGCAGAAACTTCAATTCCCCAAAGACCACACACAATACCACCTGGGAAGACAAAACGAAAGGCTTTGCAAGAAGACATCCAAAACAATCCGATTGTTGTAAGGAGTTGACCACCGCTGCATCCCTGCTGGATGCCGCGTGGCTGGAGAAACTGCGCCGTGCCATTGGCATGCAATCAGTGCTGCCGGCGCCTACCGAGTTGGAAGTGGGACGGATCGTTATCCCCTTGGTCTTTGAGGCCGGGCTAAACCCGACCCATGGCGATGTCGCGTCGGTGTTGCGGTTTCGGTGTTGCGTAGCTCCGGTGGTTGGTGAGTTGGAACTGGGGATGTTTGGGAGGACGTTGGGGTGGTTGAATGGTTGGCGGCAGAAGTCAGAAACATCAGTTCAACTAATTCTTGGGCCATGGTGAAGCTCTTGACCCAACTAAGATAAGCATTCTTGACGGAAGCCTTTGCTTCTTGGAGGCCATTTGGGGCAAGAAGATCTCCGCCTCAGAAGTCTATCAAATCTTGCCCTACCTGGAGTTAGGGAAGATGTGCATCTTGGGCAAGCGTGGGAAGCACGTGGGGGTGGTGCAACCCAGAGCGCTCAAAGCCATCAAGAACGTGGCCATTGCCTTTGCACGGGACTCTCCAACAGCGCAGAAGTTCCTGGGCAAGAGCTATCAGCGTTACCCTTGCATAGCAGCCATCGCAAGTAGGAAGAAAGCATCCTCAAATGATTGTATGGTTACAAGTTACATGTGGCAAAATGGCTTTGGCACCTGGAGCACTTGGAATCGCACTCTCAGACCGCTTGTCGTGGCACGCAACCCTCAATCAGCCGTGTCCCCAATGTATCCTCCCCAGGGTCCAAACCTTAACGCGGCCGTTTCAAACGTCCTCCTCAAGCCATGAGGCTCTACAAGTTGATTCAAGAGCCCAAGTTCGCTACACTGAAGCACTTACTGGAGACCGACATGACGGAAGAGACCTTGAATGACAAGCTGGTGCGAGACATTATCCATGCCTCGTTTCTTGTCGGCGGCGAACGGTTCGCGGTTTCTGTTGGAGATTTGGGAAGGGAAGTGCTCTTTGCTGTTAGTCTTAGTTCAGGGTTGAACAGCTGAGATGCTTGAAATGATTGCATGGTGGGGCACCAAGTTGTGAGATGGGTGTGTGGTGAGTAATTATGTGGTGTGGGTGTGAATAGGGCGACACCTGTGGCCCAATGGATGTGTCTATGTGGTTCAGAGAGGTCTGTGGGGGGCTATCCTCATCAGGCTGATATGAGCTGATAACAAAGAACCTACCCCCCTTTTTGCAATCTGGAAGTGGACCAGGGACCCCTGTTGAGCTTCACCAGAGGCCCTTGTTGAGCATGTTCAGAGGCTATACAGGAGGCAAGGTAGGTTTGTTCCGCTTCATTGTTGGAGGGAGATACTTTTGGACCAAAAACCTGTTTGGCCCAACTACAGGATTCGACTTGCGGAATTGAGGCTCTTTGCTGGCGTTCTGGGAACCAGCGACATGACGACGAAGTGCGTGCAATCTCAGTTCAAGGACTTCGTGAAGTTCTTTTGAAGTCGAAGAAGCTTTCCACCCATGGAAAAGCGGAGGGGCTGGAGTTGAACAACAAACTCCTTGGAAGTCTGTGTTGTTGTTTCTTCCATGTTCTGTTATATGTTGCGAACTGAGAAGAATCAGTAACGAATCACATACAAATGAGAACTTGCCTGAAGCCGATTATTGATGTTCATCATGCGAGCGAAGAACCAAAAACAACCTGATGTTGCACTACCTCCCTGCCTACCTCCCTGCGCAGGATGGAAATCATGTAATGATGTTCCGAAAAGATGCAGGCCGGACGAACGTGGCCCACATCGTTGGGTGGTTCTTCACGAACATGTCACACTCCGTTTCCGTGCCAACATCGTTGGACGTGCCAAGTACGAACGGCGATACTGCGAAGTTTGCGATGTCCCCATCCCCCGACGTAGGGCCCGACGTAGTACCCAGCCCTGTCGGCCGAACAGGTCGCACCCTTCTTTTCGTTTCGGTGGGACGACCGGGGCCCGGGTGTGCCATGTGAGAGGTCCCAAGGGCGGTGCCCTGAGGAGGTCACCCTGGAGGTCGAACGTGTAGTCCCTGACTGAGGGTTCCATCGATGTGACTGTGCGAAACCACCGGTTTTTCCCCGGACGAAGCGTCGACCTGTGTGAACCACGTCGGACGAAGCGTCGACCGGTTTTGGAGGGGTTTGGACTGCAGTGGTCGTGGTGGGTGCCAGGGGGGGTGAGACACAAACAGATGGTGATTTGAGTAAAGAACCCATGTCCAGATAGATCATTTAGGTCCAGTCCAGGTCCAGTCCAACCCAGTTGGTCCGTTTTAGTGATGGTTCAACGCACAGATTATATGTTTGAAGATTGCTTAGAGTGGAGACGTCCCGAACGAACAGATGGAAGTCATAGGGTAAACGTGCCAGTAAACCTGTAGCAGTCGGTAAACAAGAACATGACGGTTTTTGAATAAGCCCTTCAACCTAACCATCATCATCCACTGGGCCCTGGTAATAGATCTACCCAAATATATACACAAGTGTTCTAACACTTAGCCCGTTGGGGGCGGGGAAAAAAAGGCATCAACCCGAATCAACCCTCAATAAACAGATACTCCACAGGCGCAATACGATATTGCATCGTTGATTTGCATTGATGAATTTGCATGGTGAATACATCTTTGCGCATGTTTCAACGGATCGAATCATCAGAATCCTAAAGCCTAAACCCGCTCCTGTCCAGCTCCTGTCCAGCGCAGCCTGATGGTCCTTTTTCCCCTCCGTCCTTGTAGGGGCCTATTTACATGAGCTGATGCGACTGGATGGAGCGGTTCAGCAATTCACCACTGCCCTCGACAGCGACCAGACCATCGTCCTTGAGGGACATAAGGTATACGGAGTGGCACGGGGGACAGGGGGATCACAAGGGCGAAAACAGACTAGCGATGGCCTCCACTGAGCATAGCGTCCTTGCGACCGTTCGTAGCTTCTTGTGTAGCAATGGCCTCCAACCTACGATGGCCTCCAACCTGGCCTCCAACCTGGCCTTCACCACCGAGTATAGCGTCCGACCAACGTGTGGAAACGACTCCAGATCCCGGGTGATGCAGCGGTGTGAGTCACGGTGTGAGCGAAGGAACAAGGGAATCAGCTCTTCGCCTTTGGTGCAGATCTTGGTGGTATAATCCCCCTTGCTTGCGCCATACTGAAATCCTTGGGATCTACCTTAGCTGTCGGTACCAAGGGGGATGTGGTTTCTCGTAGCCAAGAGTGAGTGAAACGAGAGCGGCTGAAGGCGATGCATCGGTGAACGGTGAACGAAGTCACTACCGTAAACCTACCATCCCCGTTTCAAACAGAAGGCTTTCCAAGTTTGAACGTTTTTTTTTTTACACCAGCTCACAATATTGCATGTTATACCTGCATATATGTTGGTGTTATTTTATGTTTGTTTATGTGTGTGTTTTACATTCTGTTTCTATGACATATTTGTTTAGTTTGTTTGGTTTTAAATATTGTGCATGAAGAACAATGATAACTTGAAATCTGAAACCGGGTAACTAAAGCCCAATCCAAAGAGGAATTTGCATTGACTCCGTTCTTCTGAGATATGACTCAATTGATCACAACTGAAGACTTGTTTTTCTTCTGCAACACTAAGCTGACTTAGCTCAGAAGGTATTCTTCTAGGCTCAAAAGGAGTTCTTTCCCACAACTGAAGACAACTGAGAAACCTTCCCTCCACCACTGTCAACCGTGCGGATGAGCTTTGACTTTGAGATGACAATTGACCACAAGCAATCCAGACACCTGACAGCAGGGAAGCAAACACAAAACCTCATTGAGTGTCCCTGTGATTCTCAGATTTTCCAAGCCTGTCACATGGTGTTGCTTCTTCTGAGATAATTTGAGACGATTTGAGAAAATTTGAGATTATCTGGTTTGGTGCGTATATTTTAAAATTAATATTCCGATAAATGTTCAGAGTTTGATAAATTTTGAGATAAAAAGAGATAAAATGAGCTGGGACAAGTACGTGTTTCCCTTTCAAAGTACTTTTGGCTTGAGATATTTTGAGATCTTGTTGATAAATTTTCAGATAATTTGAGATCATTTGAGATTTGGTGCGAAATAATTTGAGATACTTTGAGATAGTTTGCTTGAGATAATGTTTATACTTATGTTTTTTGTGTATTAGTTCATGTATTTTGTGTTTATATATATTTATGGGCGTGTCGCCCTTTAGGTGTGCTGGTGTGACTGGTGTGTTGTTGTTGTTTTCATGTGTCTTTATGTGTCTGATTTGGCATCATTTGTTGTTGCTGTGATTTGTTATACACTGACTATACAAAATTGATTCATTCATTGATAAGTTGCATGTGTGTTTCACAGGATTTCTTCATTTGTCATATCTTTTTGCATGTTTCCACATCTTTCGCATAAAAAATCTCTAGGAATCTCAAAACCCAACCTTTTCCTCAAGATCATTAATACCATCAAAACCCTTCCGATTGAAAACCCTTCTGTTTCAACGGGCTGGTTTGCGGCAGTGAAGAAGGAAGATCGGGCTTGAAAACAGTGTCCTTGCGGCAGAGCGAAATTATGAGTTAAGTATGTTATTTCTGAGTTGTTTAGTTGTGTATTAAGTTTGTATTAGATTCTTGGCCAGTCGTATTCCATTGGCAGGTGGCATTTCCCAAAGATCAGGCTGTGAACATGGTCATGAACACCGCCAATCGAATCTGGCTTGCAATATTCATTTTGGACATTTTTTTCATCCGGCATCGTCCAGCACCACCACACAGCAGGTTGGTAATTTTGCAAGGTGAACCAATGGTAGTTGACCAGTAGTTTCCCACTGGGTGGTGTATAGTTCCTAAGTGAGTGGATAAATGGGCACCCCGACTACCTCCATGGATAGCATCCCTTTGTAACTCCTCATATGGTAGTTTCCTTCTTTTCTGGACCACTCAACCTAGATGGTGGATGTGCATATATGCGGCATTCGGCTCAATCACACTCGTGTTGGTGGCTCGTCCTCCTGGCTTCACACAGACCACCGCACCGTGAATTGATGGTGAACAGCAGCAGCAAGAGGTTTGGGATGTGTTGTTTTTCTCTGAAGTCACAGAAATGTCACATGTTTGGATGTCAGTTTAGGGGCTTGGTGTAGGAAAAAGGGTGGTGTTTTCATCCTGCCTTGATCCATGTTCCTCGGTCCCCCGTCCGGGTTCCTGGGCCGGCGACGACCTCGACCTCAACCGTCTCGAGGTGAACAATGGGGTGCTTGAAGGGAAGAAACGAATCTATACTATATACATCTATACCAGGAAACCCATGTTTTCACCCCCAAAAAGATCCCAAAAACCATGGGTTTCCTAGTGTTTCGTATGGATGTTCCGTTGAACCAATTCTGGAAAACATGGTATGTCAACATGCCAGTCCCATGAAGCTAGAGTCCGTGTTTCTGTTCAACACCACCCTCTGGGGTTAAGTACGGTCCATGCCCGGTACTACTGCGAACGGTCGCTCGGGGCTGAACGCCGAGATCCGCCCACTGACACGAAGTCGTCTGCGGAGGAGATCCGAGCAAGTTCCCGGATCCCGACGTGTTTGATCCTGACAGAGCCAACCTTGATGAGATGCTGACCTGGAATGGACAATTGAAGTCTCTTGGACGTCCATTTCTTGGCCCAACTAGGTCACCACTCGTGCGAGATGGTGTTGTGTTTTAATGTCTTTTTCATTGCTTAAGTTGCATCTGTTTTGCTGGAGAAACACGTCAAACATATCTCGGTCCATTAGGGGTTCTGCACAAGGTGAGAAATTGCTGCAACAAAACCATGCCCAACCTGCCTTTAGAAGTGTTCTCGACGCCTCTTGGGGGGGGGGGCAAACGATGACTCCTGAGGCACGTGATGGCTCGCAACTACAGTGGTGCCCCACGCTTCTGTCCTGGATATCACTTGTCCATGAAGGTGGCCAAAGAGGTTTGCGCGCAGATGACGAAGGAGTGGTTTGAGTCGATATTCCAGGTAGTTCTCAATGGAGTATTTGTCAATTGAGTATTGAATCGGATGACATAACTGTATTTACATAGACCCACCCACCAAGCTGTAGAAATGCAATTTTCAGCTGCACCCATGGAGACCAGTGGACCCACCATGTATGATCAGATAGACGCAAGAGTCAGATGACCTTTTTCTCACAAGATCATCGCTTCATACCGAAGACTTGGGAATGCATTTGGCCACACCTGCAGCCCTGCAGCTGCTGCAGCCCTGCTGCTGCTGCACCCTGACTGAGCCCTGCAGGATTTGAACCAGTGGGGTGGTTTCAGCCGCGAACACGCGAAGATTGAAGGCCTGGTGAAGATCAAGTGACTCGTTCTCCTTGTCATCGCGTCGTTGCTCGGAGCGGGGCGCATGCGGCACGCGTACGCGTCACGCGTGGGGCTGGTCGGACCTGGCGCCAATTTGGAAACAGTTCGGATGGATTTCTGGAATGCACAGGTTTCTCCAGGTATAGATTCTTCCAGGTTTTGGGGGCATTTCAGGTATTTCTGAAAATGAAGGATTTCTGACATGCACACGATAAATAGATCATGAGTTCTTCCAGGTTTTGGGCCCAAAAAGTTGACCATTCGGGCCCTGAAACTGGCGTAGTGAAAGTCCACTTTTGTGGGGAAAAAGAACACCCTTGGAACTCCCTTGGAAGATGCAGGTATCCCGCATGAACTCACAGAAAAACACCATACATGGGGTCTGTCCGCAAGGAAATCACTACTTTTTCAACAAGGCCTGCAACCAGGCCCCATCATCCACTGGGCCCAGGTAGACTCAGATATACCCAAATACATCTCCCAAGCACGAATCCATTTTTACAGATCAAACGATGGACCTTTGAGAAGTCGGGCGATTCTCGGGTGAAACCCGTTTGGCATTGGGCTCCGAACGGCCGACATGATCAGAAGGTAGGGACAGACCCCCCTGGCACCCACCCCTGGCCCACCTTGTGAGGATGTGGGCCAGGAGTCCAAACGGGACAAAAAAGGAACCCTTCTGCACATTGAGGACCCCTGGCTACTTTGGAAAACATGCGTCCGTCGCCTATTTCGACTTTAGCAAAGACAAGTATTGCCTCACCGAGAAGTACCACCATGATACCTACATTGGATGTTTTCCCGACGAGGAGCCGCCTTCCGAACTCGGAACGGCGGTTGGGCTCGGTCGGCTCGGGCTCGGGCGGTGTGAGGTGTGTGAACCACAGGCCGTGTGACCACAGGCGAGTGACGGTTTAGGTGGTTCTTGGTGAAAGTCGCCTCCCACATATACCAGCCCGGACGGGATCCAGTCGTACCGAACCTCAGAAGGCACCTGGACCACCCCAAACACCTTCTGAGAAGGTACAGAAGGTACTTGGATCCCTAGGGGCAGGAGTGTCTAACAGCTTTTCCTTTGAGACCTGTTTGGGCTCAACAATCCTCAACTCAAGATCTTTTGAACGCTCTTCTATATACTGTCAAAGAGAAGACATAGACGCCTCTGACGCCTTTGCAGTACAACATCTGCCACAGGAGTTTGCAACCTCTTGAACCTGGTCTCAGGGTGAAGTTTCCTCCGCACACCTCTGGAGCTGGGGAAAAGAACCTCCGCTGGTAGGAGACCCGGAGAGTCAGCCATGCAAACCTTACTCTCCATCCTGCCGCAAAGTATGGGTGTGATATGACCTCCAAGGGGTGTCTATTTATGGCCCCTTAGCTGTTAAGGGGTGTCCATTAACCACCCCTTGAAGGTCCTGGGATATAATAGTTATATCCGACTCCGCTATAGATCAGATATTATTGGTCTTTGACATTTGTTCAGAGATCAATTCATGATAAATTGAGTTGAAACTTAAAATAGAGAGACAGATCCCAGACAGGATTGCCATTTCTGCCGCCCCATTGACCCCCGACTTCAACCACCCTGGCCGTTTCTTGGCAGTCCGGACTGGCAGTCCCAAACGGGTCGTGTCTGGGTATATGAATTGAGGTAGTCGGGGTGCCCAGAACATTACATCCACTCACTTTATAGGGGACTCAACACCACCCCTACCTTTGTGACTCCTGGTCACTCCTATTCTTGGTCCGTCTACTGGAAAGAGACTTCGAAAGATCGATCGAAGCGAGCGAACTGCAGTGTCAGGAGCTGGAAGTGGTCGATCCCAATGGTGGCCGTCCCAAGACCCTGGAGGAAGAGCTCCCTGGACCACGACCACCGGCGGATGCGACCGCCGGTGGAAGCGCGTGCGACACAAGAGCGCTAGGTGAATTGGGGGTGTGAAATCGGTGGAAGCCGTCAGAAGCAGTGTTTGGGCTGGAGTAGCACAACGTACTGATCCAGGAGCCTGCTTGGTTCATGAGCTTAGGTACAATATGTGCCCAAAGATGGTTCCAGCCATGATGCAGATGCTCCTACGCGTGCTGGCACGACAAGAGGAAGCCCATTCCACCGTCGGCTGGATGATTGATCGATTGCTGGGCAAGACGCTTGGAGACACCGATGGATCGTTCATCATCCGTCCCAGCTGGATCGCCGTTACCTGAGAGTCGTCTAGTGTCACGCCCTGGGCGGTCAATCCACCCACCACTGGACTCTCAGGGGTCAAATGCGTCATGGATTCTTAGGGTCAGTTGAGAGGGGATTTGCTTTGTTACCCCAGGACTCGGCGACCCAACCTGAGTTCCAGTGACCATGTGAGGGAGTCCCTCCCTGAAAGAAACGTGGAAAACAAGCCCAACAACCATGGCAACCATGCCGTCCACGTGACCATGATTGTTGCAGGGAGGGTACAAGGACAAATCCAGAATGCTGTATTTATATATTATAGTTATATTTATGTTATTATATATATAACGCCATTTGGGGTGGTTTCATTGGTCAAGGTAGGCATCATAGTCCAGTCCCATGGAGTGTCTGGGACACTCCAGTCCCGTCGTCGTTTTCGACAACTCGCCTAAGACATCACCTGTCCAGCACGAAGAGCCTTTCTCCTGGTTGGCGAAAAAAAAAATCCAGCTGTGCGTCCACGAATCCACGTCTTTTTGTTGGAAAGACACGACGTTCTATATCGTCTATTATAGCCGCAGTAGGCGCAACTAAACAGGTTTTGGATGGTTTTTGGTCTATTCTTCTTCCAGAGGGGCTCTTTACAGGGTTTTCTTATATTGCACACCTTTTTTGGGGGGATGGAACAGTCTCACGAAGATGCACTGAGAATGGCAATGGTCCATGTTGTTTTGGTGTTTCGTTTTTTAATACATGGATACCAACTTCCTGTTTACGCCAAAATAGAACGATGACACGATGGAAGCAATTGCCTCACCTCTCTTAAAGGACACCTCACGTATCTTCGTCGTCTTCTTTCACGTATCTTCGTCATTTAGGATGGGACGGCGCGATGTTGACGTTGAAGAAGTCAGCACCGGTCGGGCTTGTGAAGAAACCGTCGGTCGCCGTGACCGCGTGACCGGCCGACTGACCGGAAACCTGCTGCCGCTTCGGTCGCTTCGGCTGGCGGGAGCAGTGTCCCTCCCACGCAGAACCGAGGAAGGCCGACAGTGAAGACTTTCATCCAGATTGGGCGGATGATTTTGTGGTGGGTTTGTATGCAGGCGGGTACCGTATATTGTTTTTTCCCGGCGGCTGTGTGGCAGTCACTGAAGCTGAATCAATAATGATGAGCCCAGAGGGTTGGCAGGAAGATCGTAGATGAAGACCCATGGCTTATTGGGGGTTGTCATTATCTAACAGCCAGCCAGATGGTATTTACAAGAATTGAACCAATATTGGAATAGCATCCAATACCCCTTTCACGAAGGTCTAGGGTTTGCCACAGTCCTTTTTTTTTCATGAAAGAATCACCTGAAGTAACTGACAAGTAGACGGTAGAAAACAATTAATCACGATGATGTATTTACTGTACAATGTATTTCTTAAATATTACAGAAAATCTTTACAAAACAACATGTCGTTGAAGATGTTTGTTTGTTCGAGCTCCTCCGCTCCCAGACACCTCTCGTGCCGTGGTTCCAGGCATCAACCTCGTCAGCATGCCGATGTACTCCTCGCGGCACGCGAACTCCGTCTTCGTGCCGCGCCGCAAGGGCACCGTGGAGGTCTTCCAAGTGGGCAGCGTCGTGGCGCCCGACGTGGACATCGACAATCCCAAGTTCGTGCCGGTGGACGCTTGCTTCGGCCGCGAGTAGGTCCACGCTAAGACCTCGTATGACAGTCCAGTCGCTTCGCGAAGGACGTGTTTTCGGGGTGTTCGGGTGCCATCGGCCAGGCCGGTCCGTTGGGGTGTTCGGATTGTTTGTTTTGTATTTGCTTTGGGGGGGGGGTCGATAAACAGATGCTGTCTTTTTGATGGTGCTTTTAGTACGGATGTTTGTTTGTGTCCCTGCGCAACTTAATTAGAACTAATTAGGGTTTTTGTTGGGATCCTGTTTGACAATCTTTGACATACGGGACAAGGGTGCACAATAACATCAATTAATACCGCAGGGTGCAAGATAAAACAATCAACATTCAAAGACTCTTGAAATCTCTTGACACATGTTGTTTAATTCATTTGTTTTTGGCGGACCTTGAAACAAATCATTGTCTGAGGAGTGGTATATCCCACAACCGCTTTTGGACCTTGGAATGGTGCCAGCGATGACATGTTTCCACGGATTCCTGCGGCAGTTGCCTTGGGATGACATGTTGGATGGTGAGCGAAATACTTGGGACTTGGTCATGAACCTCAGCAAGTTCTCTCACCGAAGGATCTGACTGGTCGCCGGACGTTGGGTTGGTTCATGGCTATGCCAAAGCACCGGCTGTGATTAGACACCCCGCCTTCTTTGGGGGTCCCTGGTATAAATAAATCTGCAAGCCAGCCGCGGCCAGCCCTCAGAACTGATGCAGCATGTTGGCATCCGGTCATTTTGGAGTGAAACTGTAGAAGTTTCCGTGATTGGTGGTGTGAGCTGTGTATTTGACAAATGGAAAGGGAACAAACACATTCACGTCATGCTTTGGCTTTGGTGTGTTCACCGTTCTTCGCATTTTGGGCGTTCAAGCACTGGCAGGAAGGAGGATTGGGTCATGAGTTTCTACAAAGGCTACAAGAGCCAAGATGGTGTGGAAAACTGGCCGAGCATGGAGGTGAACTTCGCCAAGATGCTCCTCGCTGGTGAAGTCGAATGCATGGCGATGGACGGACGGACATTGGAAATTGCAACGATCTTGAGATCTTGAAACATCAAACACGGCAAATGCTTGGATCTTCCAACGACATGCCAATTCTTTGCCGAACTTCATCCATCAAAGCAGCGAGATTCGGCAGACGCATGGACGGGTCAGATCTAAAATGCATCTCATCGAGTGCCAATGTGAATCCCATCCCAACAATCTGTCCAACACGTCAATGCCCTGATACCTTGACCAACCCTCGTGTGTGTAGACCGTGTCCGGAGAATCTGACGAAGATCTCTGTCCAAGTTCAGGGTTCCATCCGTACTTCTTAAAGGAGAGTGCAGGTACTGTATACTGCCGAGACACGACCCATGGGACTGCCATATTGGCCTACATCGGGGTGGCTTGGGGGGTCAACTGATCGGCAAACATGGCATACATGGAGTGTTTGGGCTGTGTTTCCCCAAACGTATTCACGGAGAACCCTTCTGCCAGTGTTCATTTCTTTGGTGACGGCCCCGTGGGAGTGCCTTTGCGTGCCGGAGTGCTCGCCAGATGGTTTTTGAGGTGGCCCGAGCTGGAATCGTTTGAAGAGTCATCAAACTTATTTAGGAACACGAAGTTGTTGCTGTTGTTGTTGCTGCTGTTGTTGTTTTCAAAATGAAGTTGTTGCTGCTGTTATTGTTTTACAGTGTCAGACAAACAAAGTCAGTTGTTTTAGACGATTTGTGTCAGACACCATTGACATGTGTGTGTGACTGCCAGGCCTGGGTGCTGGGCCGGGGGTGTTATGGTGCCCCAACTTGTGCTGCTATCAGACCTTTTTGGTCCTGGCAAACATGGGCATTTGGACCTATAGACCGTTAGCTCATCAATCATTGTTTGCCAATAAAAATAAGTCTTAAGTATGATAGCTCCAACCAGTGTTTAAACCCATCAACCGTCAAAACATGCGGAAACCGCGGCAGAAACCACCAAGGTATTGGAAGCAAGATGAGTGGGACGACGGCTTGGAAAAAGCCATTGCCTTCGGTTTGATCGCTTCTCACCGTCTGGAAGAACTGGATCCTCCAGTGAACTTTGGCGGCGACTCAATGCGTTGCTCGGTGTGAAGGGTCGCATGGGTGCGGCATTCCGCAGGTGTTCCCAGCGTTTTGATTTGCACCAAACTGTTTTGGGCTGCAGGGTGTTGGTAGGGCCTAAGATATGGCATAGATTTTTTGCCAATTGCACATGAATTCTACAAGTTGTCGAAGATATTGGCCCTCACATCCCCCCAACAAACCTGGGGACGTGTCGATTGCTGACGTAGTTCGAGTAGTGCGCACACGTTGGACGTTCTGAACGAGTTAACGGACGTGCTGACCTGAATTCGATGGTCAGGTATCACGCGCTGGAGGTGCGCAAGAACTTGGCCAAGTTCCAAGGCGATCTTTATTTCACCAAGGACTGAACTCGCAGAAACCCTAGGCCTCCAAGCACCTTCTGAGAAGGTGTTTGGGGTGGGTTTGGAGGGTCCAAATACCTTCTATAAGCAGGTATTTGGAGGTATAGGGGAAAGGGACCCAGCTTGCATAGCTGTAGACAGCTTGAGTGTGCCAGGATTAGTTGCTGCATGAGCAAGCGTGGAAGGTTAATGTATATAGCTATCGCCGAGATGGTCTATAACTCTGGCTAAGATGGGCCCAAATTGTTAATCTAGCCTTGGAACCGCTCAGAAATCCGGGGTTTTCAACCAAGGTAGATTTTGCTTGTTCTTCTCCTTCAGCAGACTTCAGCACGCGTTTTCTTTGAGGAGGGATACCCAGCGATGATGAAGCTGGCTGATGGTACGCAAGTGGGACGAGGAGACAAGGACTGGCAATATTGGAAATTCGTGTGGAGGCACAGGGCCCATCGGGATGCCAAACTGCTTGGGATTTTGTGGCCGGTGTGTCCGATGCTCCGATAGTCATCGACTGATAGTCATCGATTTCTGCATGTGAATCAATCCCAATGTGTTGTAACTGATATAATAATCCTAATTATCTAATATATAACAAAAATCAAACATATTTTTGGAGGTAACTGGAGACAGGTACCCCCGGTCTTTCTTTTTTACGGGGGTAGAGGTATTGGATGTCAATCTCCATGAAGCCCATTCTCCATCCTCCGTCTTTTCCCATGCTTTTGGTGTTCCCCAGCGGGACGCTCCGCGTCTTCGGGTCTGTGATCGATGCTTCACGGTGAACGACGGACACTCCGCGTCTTCGGCCGCTCGGCTCGGCGAAGCATGGCGAACCGACGCGTCGGAGTTCAGCTTCTAGCTATCTTTAGCACAGTCGAAGAACCAAGGAACTGAAAAGCTCACCCTGTTTCAAGCGGAGGGGGGGGTCTGGCCACCCCCTGAATCCCCCTTTTCCTGGACACGATGCCAAGCAGACCGGAACCGATCACCTGACGGTCTTCCGCAGGTGCTCGTTGATTACGATCATCACCTTGACCGATCATCTTCACTACACCCACTTCCGCGCCGGCAACGTCTTGGCCACGGCGGTGCGCAAGACCCTGTCGCCCAATCATCCCTTGCGGCGCCTGCTCTCGGTCTTTACCTTCGGAACCATCTTCGTGAACCTCCAGGTGAAGCGAACCTGTCGATCTGTCGATCGGTCGATCTTGGCCCTTCGTAGGGGGAAAGAAGGACCTGTGAAAAGCAGCTCCAAGCAGCTTCTCAGAAGGCCCTTGGAGCACCATTTTGGTGTGGGGATGGCTGGAAAAAATATACATGTTGTTTTAGGATCACCGGCAGGCCTCCATCATAGGGAGGATGTCGATGGATTTCTTGCATTGCTTGGCTACATCGTTGGATTGGTGAGACACCGCAACGAGGTTCAACATGTTTGGCCAAGCAGCCTTTGTCTTTTTTCAATCAACAACTATGACATCGGGGGCGGCATTTCGGGCGGCTAGGGGGTATGGATATTGTCAGAAACAGAGGCTGGCACCCATTTGAAGGGGTTCACCATGGTTGACGAAACATGTCCATCAAATGTTTACTTACTTTGGTGGCCATTGGACGCCGGTGCAGTTCAAGGCAGCATGAAACCTTGAGGCTGAAAAGTCTTGGGATGGATTGCATGCATGCGTGCAAACGAATAGGGAAGATGTAGGAAGATGTGCGGGAAGACTGTGACCCCCCCCAGAGTGGTCATCCTTTATCAGTGAGTCGACTCGACCACTTCGCTAGTGTTGCTTGCAGAAAAGCAACTTAATTAAGGAATTCCCCAGCATTCCAAGTGCGGAAACATCTTTGACCTACATGAACCGCTTTTCAAACACCCCATATTCATCTATATTCCAAGTGTTTTCCATGTATGCCACATTTTCCAGCACCTTCCCTCCAACAGGTCACCACCTGCGACTTGGAACAGTCTAGATTTCATCCATGTTTGTTTGCTGCTTCCGTTCCGTGTCACCTGGGTGGACAACCCACCCTACTTAGGCGACAGGACACCCACACAACACACACCCAGCACCCAGCACGCGCGATCGGGTGCTCATCGGGTCCTGGTAGACATGGGTCGGGTTTCATCCGACTCATTCATCCGTGTGACCCCCAGGCGATGCACACCTTGATTGGTCCTCGACACGTCTTGCACCGATCAACACCCTTTGTCCAGTTCCCTGGCTTTGATGGCGGATTTTTAGGGTGATGGCGGATTTTCCCCGAACTGCGTGGAATCCCTCCAACTATGGGGAATATTTGTTATGTTCGTTCCCGTTTTTTTTGGGAGCAAATGCCAAGGTTCGAAGACTTAAGCGATGCAGTGCCACAGCATCTCTTGCCTTTGTGGCTTGGTCGATGCCGAAGGTCTCTCTTCCGAAAGACACCCGGAACCCCTGCGAAGGGCGACCAAACGGCTGGTTCGGTTGTTAACGGTAAAAGCGACGTGCCGCCTTCACAGATCCACCCACCAGATCCTACACATGTACGCGCCAAGAGGATCCAGTTGTACCCAGTCGTAAATAAGGTGGCAGTGGATCCATAACGACAGCTTTTCAAATTTTCCAAACAGTTTTAGTTTTCAGCAGTTGCGTCGTAAGGTTTGGCTACGTGGTGTATGATCAGTTCATAATATCTCATCATTTGCAGAGGTACTATTTTCCACTTGTTTCCACTCTGAACAGATGATGTTTCAGGACCCAAAAGCACCAAGCTCTCTTAAAGGAGGAGGAGTGGAAGAAGTTGCCTCCCAAAGTGCGCTCCACGCCCTACTTCTCCGATGGAAAGCTTCTCTTCGACGCCGAACGGCCGCTCGGTTCCCGCGGCGCGCGGTGGTGAGGTCCGGTCCGTGGCGGAAGGGGTGTGGCTGATGAAGAGCTATGAACTCAGAACTCAGAAGTGATGAGTCTCCGGACATCGCCGAGCTATTCAGTCTGGAGGTTGCCTCTGGGTCACTAGGGGTTATGAGAGTTAGATACGAAAACCACCAGCACCCGACTGAAAGCAGGTCATCAAGGGGTCTCCAACTCTTTCGGAGAGGCAGGGAGGGTGCTGGTATACCCTGAGAGTCATCGTTTGTTTGAACGAATTGCCTTTAAGAGTATCTGAAAAAGAAATACATGTCTGTACAGACTTCACTCTCGCAAAATATATAAGTCTTTCGCCTTCTAGGGTGTGGGTGTATATAGTGACCCCCAATGTTCCATTAGGCCTTCTGATGATGACCCCCCCAGATCGATAGACAAGTCTCAAACTCACCACTGTTCACATGCATATATATATATGGAATGGTATGTATTTCGATCTACTTATGGTCACTTCTTTTGTGGTTTCAGCAGATGAAGTTCAGCTTTGCACGCAGTTCTTTTCGGAGACGAGTTGACAGAAGTGGACGGTCCAGAATGAGCGTTAGAAAAATAGATAATTGATTTAACAAACACATGGTGCAGATCGAGGTTTCACATGCTTTCACCATCCACGTCCGAGGGGCGGGGGGTACTATTGATCAGACGAGTCCAAACAGAAAGCACTGCTACTTTCACGGGTCGGGTTGTCTCCAAGACACCCCTCAGCCGCCCAAGAACCGCTCGATTCCGCGACCGGCTCGGTCGTTCGGTGGTCCCAGGAAGCTGCTGAAGGAGTTCAGGGAGCTCTACGGCTATGGCGCTATGGGGTTTTGCAGCAAGGAGGACCAGATCGTGGGGCCCGAGGCCGAAGGGTTTCTGGGCGTAGTCTCCTCAGGTGGGTCAAGACCTCCGCCCGTTTGGGTCATACAAGAGGACGTCATGGCGGTTTTGAGTCCTACAAAAACACGGTCATCACGCTCGAACTGCTTGAGAATCTCCTAAAAACAATACGCTCGAAGAAGTGCCGGGCTTGGACAGCACACCCTGGCCTCGCCTTCTCTCCGCAGCCAGGCACAAGGCTTCGTGTCGGAGCTCATCGCGGAGAATGCCCACTCGCATTATGCCAGCGCGCTCCACCAGAACGTCACCTGCACCGAGTTTTTCGAGGAGCGCGGTGGGTGAACCCGCATGGTTGCTGGATGCGATGATGCGAAAAGAGAAGGGCCAAGGGAGGAAGGAACGGTTCTTCTGTGCCAACAGGGAAGTGTTGAATATATCAAGTGAAGGGCCTTCACCACAGAGTTTGGGTAGTTCTTCTTTTTTTCACACCCCTACGAGTCCCTTTTTGGATGGTATTTTCCTTCCAATCACACGAACTGGGTGGTGCTGGGATGTAATTACTCTCTCTCTATATAGTGTGTCTTCTTGGGTGAACCCAGCTTTATTTTTTTCCTGGGAGGTTTGCACCAAGGATCGATGAAGAGTGTGAGCCACAGAACGTGTCAAATTTCACTTTGCTGCACCTGAGAAACCCTGTAGCCAGATTCAAGAAAACACATCAAACAACACAAACACAATATGTGCATTCAATTCAATCCAAGCCGATCCAATCCTTGATGGCTGTCTCTACAAAATGGCGCGTGGAAGTGATGTTTGCCAGAGACTTGTAAAGAGTGTATCTCTTTACCCGGACACTCCATGTATGCCATATATGCCTACATTGGGGTGGTTTTGGGGGTCAATGTACTAGGCATATATGGCATACAAGGAGTGTTTGGGATAGAGAATACATCATGATCTGTTTGGAGCGCTGGCAGGTCATTTTTCCGATTAGATCCCTATCCATCTCCTCTCTTGCAAGATTCCCATTTGTAGAGTGTGTCCCTGCTTCTCGCAAAAAAAAAGATTCTTGTGCTGGGCATGATCTGTAGACACTGTAAACCCAGTTTTGACAGAATTGTGATGTTGTCCACCAAAAACTTGATAACTACAACATGGAGGTCCACAACAACACCAACTGGCCAGGGGCATCCAGAGCCCGAAAACAAACCTGCTATAGATGAGGCTAGTGATGAGGCTATATCGCACCGAAGTTCCATCTTAAAGGTTGTTGGCTACATCGCTCTGATGCGCAGAGGTGTTATTTTTGATTTGCGCCCTGTCCCCCAGCAAACAGTGATGGTCCGAAGGTCAATCTGACCCATTTGGGTCCATCCAAAGTCAGCGCGTCCCCACGAGATTCTTCAGTCCTCCTGCAGATGGTCTCTACAGAATGGGATGGGTTGACCCCTGAGATAGATGTATCACAGATGATAGACCATTATAGATCAACTTTTTGCTCCAAGTGGCCAGAACATGCCAGAACACGCGCACCGTTTCACGCGCGAATCGAGGGGAAAAATCACCATCCCACCATCCCACGGTGCCACAAAACAAGAAAAAAACCTCCAGAACCACGGCCCTAACGACCTAAATGGGGGCGCCTCTTGAAACAGATCCCTTTCGAGGTCCTCGGTCGTGTCGGTGGGAGGAGATCCTCATGGCCTACATTTGGACGGTCACGGGATGGCATCGACATGTCGGAACGGTCGGTGGCTTGGAGGACAGGACGTAAGCGGTCGGGACTGGTGCTGGGTGGCTGGATGCGAGCCCAGACGCTCCGTAGTACCCGGCCCAGACGCTCCGTTCACAGCCCGACTGGTCCCTCAAAACCTATAGGGATTGGTTCGACCCCAGACCCCTCCAGAGGATTCGGGCCCAGGGTCGCGTCTGGGTAGGGCGTTCAGGCACCCTCAGGCACCCTCAAGCATCGGAACATCGAGGATCACCCAGACCATCCACAGGTTGTGGCGACTCCAAACCACCGCGAGGTCTGTGACTCCTGGATGAAGTATTTTTTGATTAATATGTGTTTAAATGGATCCATGAGTTACACCATGTGGTGAATTGAGAGTCTGGTTCCAACATAGCATCCTCAGAACGTTTGTGTGCAAGTTGTGTAACAGTAACACCAGGTGGCGGCCAGCATCCCCTCCTCTTTCGCGCAACAATCACCTGTCACAACCAAACCAACCTCCACATCCGACCGATCCCAACGTTCACTTCCTCCAAAAGGGCTCCAGTCATACCTTCTCAGAAGGTGGGATTGGGGGCCCGGGTGCCATGTTCAGGTCCAGATACCGAACCTGAGGAGGTAGGTAATTACTTGGAGCCCTAGGGCAGGTGCTCCACTGAGGCGACTACTATCGCGATCCCGAGTTGGCCTCCTTCAGCTGGGTGGAAGGGGAACGATCCGCCAGGCCGTTGCAACACATGCAGCTGCTTGTTCTGCACGACGTCGGGTCCGCGCGCCAGGTCATCGGGTCCGTGGTCGTTGGTACCGAAACGAACATGGGACATGACATGACCTGAAGAAAAAGCAGGTATACTGGTACCCATAAGGTATACTTTGAGACTGGTAGTGAGTATCCAGGACCTTCAAGTGGATCCCACGATGTTCTGCTCACAAACAGGCCTAATATGATTACGCCTGTTTGAGGGGTCGCGACATGAACGACTCCAGCTCTTTTGGTCACAAACGGAAAACTTGGGAACAATGTGTAGGACTAGTCAAACTAGTTGCCAATCTGGCACAATATGTCGCATGATATATGACTTGTTTGTGCTTTTGCTCCCAAGATCGCCAAGGATGACGACGGTGGCCGTTTTTACCTCATCTTTGCAGCCAAAGATCATCGAAGACTACAGCTCCTTGTTGAAGCATCAGTTCACGAAGTCGGCTTCACCGGCGACCGGGACGGACGGACCGGTCCGAACGGCGGCAGCTGTCGCGGAAGACACGCGGAAGACGGGATTCACCTGGACCGTGCTGCGAACGGCAGTCTCTAGAAAGACCAAATGTTCAGCATTCATCACACCCATGAGCTCTCTTAGGAAGCAAGAAAGCCGTAACTACACATCGTTTCATCTCCCCGTGCTGCGAAGCTGTGCGGAAGCTGTGTATATGTGCTCCTCTTGCTGTGTGGTGTTGATCTAACCGCTGAAATCACAGCCTGATTCTGTGTGTGTGTGCTTTTTTTGTACTCGACACAGAGGTGGAGCAGACCTCAGACCTCCATGCGTTCCTACGGTTCTTCTACAACTACGAGTCATGGTTTCTCATTCAAAGTATACACCTTCCCCCCAAACGTCTCCTCACCTGCTTCTTCAAAGTGACCTTTTGATATCCTAATTGGAGGTCACTTAAGCCTCCCAAGGGTCCCGAAAAGGAACCTCACTTTGAAGAAGCTGGGACTTGGTCCAGACCTTTTGATTTCCACATATTTCCACTAAGGCGTCTAAGTGCAGAAAACGCCCCCAGGGCTGAGCTGGAAAGAAACGCCGGCGCGCCCCAGGCCCATCCAGGCACCCCATGATCCTGCTTCGAGAAAGACTGAATGAAGTTGGAGAAGAAATATGCATATATAAATATGTGTTTCTGCCAAACAATAACCACAAAGATTAGTTTCTCAAGATCTTAGAGTAAAATTCAGATGCTATACTCACTGTGGAGATCTTATGCCAGCTTCTTCAAAGTGACCTTTTAAGGGTTCCCAAGTGACCCTTGGGAGGCTATTATGTTAAAAGGTCAAGTTGAAGAACCAGGTCGTCAAATCTAGAACCCTTGGCATCGATGAAAGATCTCTCATACCCAGACGCAACCCTAAGGACTGGAATAGATGCCAATCAAGACAGACCCCCCACTTCAATCACCCCGAAGGCCGGCCGTTTTGAAGGCAGTCCGGACCCGACTGACCCAGTACCTTAGAAAATGGGACATGACCCTATAAAAATAGGTACTTGACCCATTTTCTGAAGTACTTTGAGACTCCAGGCAGTCCGGACTGGCATGTCCCATGGAGTGAAAAAAGAAATTCCCTCCCGAAGATGCCGGTTCTTTCCGGTCGCCTTTCCGGTCGCCGGTCGCCTGCCACTGCACCACGTTCTTCCCGCGAGAAGACGAGTTCACGCAGATCCGCCACCACTTCAGGTCACGTCTTTCAAGGAGTTCACAAGGAGGCACAGATGCTCCAGCTTCTTGAACGACTTCAATGACTGACACGGACCGGTTTCTGACTTGGACATGTGTTGTTGTAAGGGTTCTGGGCCCACGCGGGTATGTTTTTCGGGTATTATTATGAGCATTTCTGTGAGAGGTTGAAGAACCTTGTAGACTATCCCAGTTCGGTACCCCAGAATGGTCCTATTTCAGGTCACTTAACCTAGCTCTCTTGGCATTTCTGTGAGAGATGTGCTTTTTTTGTTTTCCTTGAGACCCCTCAAACCCACCCCAACCATCTTCTCAGGAGGTGGTTGGAGCCCTAGGGATTATGAGCATTTTTGTGAGAGATGTGCTGTTTTTTCCGTGATGTTCTCTTCTTCGATTCCAAGGATCTTAGATCGCTTTCGGGCGGAGCTCCATCGCGTCTCTGCAGAGATTCAGCGGAGGAACCAGAAGCGACTGCACGATCCAGACATGGGCTTTGAAAATGTGCACGCAGATCCCAAGATCGTGGAGTGTTCAGTAGCGGTTTAGAGAGAAGACAAAGTGATCAGTTCAAAGAACTGAGAGGACAGTGGACATGAAATGCAATGTAGTTGAAACGTGTTGAAGAAGCAGACAATAGATTTCTTGTACAGTCGGCAGTCACAGATTGTGACGCGAAGATTCGCCCAAGATAGGGTAGAGCAGAGCATAGTTGCAGCAAAACTCTGAGCGAGGGCCGGGGCAAGCCAAATGCTCAAAGCAAGCTGGATGGAAGTTCACGTGTTTGTTGTCATGTGTCCCTTTTTCACTAGGGGTCCAATATGGGGCACCATATAAACACCCAGGTGATCTCAAGCTGAAACGGTTGCCAAGTGTTGAGGCATTTGGTTCGGAGAGAGCTTTGTTTGGCTCTTCCTTTGCGACATTTTGCTACCATTGCTCAGAGCTTTGTTGAAGCATGTTCTCCTCCCCCTGTCCCTTTTGCTCATCGATTTGAAAAGGCGCTCAGATCGAGGCTCTCGCGGTGTGGTGTGTGGGTCAGGACTCTTCTTTGAGTCGAGGATTTGGACCAGATCTATGGTTGTGCCTGGGCCCCCTGTGGCTTCAGAGTTTGAGCGGGGGGGACTTGACATCTCCTCTTTACATCCTCAGGATGTCCCCCTTGTTCGCCAGAGATGACTGTTCATGATTGTTCATGACTGATGTTCTGAATCGAACCATTTCAGTCGCTGTACTCAACACTCCCTGAGGGTGGCCGTGTTCCCGCAGGTCATCGGATTGCCTTACTACGCCTTCTACCTCCTTCCAGCCAGATTCTGGGAGCTCGCCGCCGGAGTCATCCTGTTCCTTTTTTGTGGCTTGGAAAGAACAAGATCAACCCGTTTGGGCTCCAGTCGTACCTCCTTAGGTATGACTGGACCCGAACATGGCACCCGGGCCCCCAGTCCCACCGAAACGAAACGAAGGTCCGACTGGAGCCCAAACGGGCAAGGAACCACAACATGTTGTTCAGTGCTCTTCAACCCAGTAGAGTCTATGGATGTGGTGGATGGGGATGGATGAGTCGGACCTAACAGCGATCGCTTCGGGTCTCTTGTGACTCATCTCGCCCGAAGACGTTGGAGACTTCGACGTGACGTGACTCATTCACAGCCTGCGTCAGCGCATCGACTGTTCCGAAACATGTCCCGAGATCAATCGGCGATGTTGATTCTGACAATGACTCATTTGATCGCTGGAAAGGCGCCAAGAAGGACACGGTGATCTCTGACATGTTGAGACGTCAGCCAACACTTTTGCTTCTTTTGCAGTCGTGGACAGCTTTGCTGTTCTTGTGCCCTGGCAGCACGAGAGCAGTCTGTGTTTGGTCACGCAGGTCTTTCTGGCGGAATGCCTTGGCTTCGGATTCAGTTGGAGAGGGTACCCATCCTTTGGACCAACTGGCACTCCACCCAACGGCTTAAATCGCGCCGCCCGTGTTTCCGCGTGAAACCACGTGCACGATCGAAACGCCGCGTTTCCACCTGGCTCTCTCCGGTGGAGGGTGGCCTTTCTGGTGAAGTTCGAAGAGAAGAGCTTCCCACTGCCTGGAGCTTTGATGCCTGCGCCCCGACGGCGTGGGGAAAAGGCGGCCGCACTCGAACTGGGGTCCAGAGCGGACCGGCACGCCGGGACAAAGAAAGGGCAGGAGATGCAGGAAAACCAGTGGGCGAATCCAAAAAACTGGTCTATACCCATGTCTACCGTGATCCACACTGCTTTCTTTGGGGCGGTTTTGTGATTGAATATGGAGAACAATATTCCCATAAATCCAAATACCTCCTCAGAAGGTATTGGACCCTCAAAACCCACCCCCGTCCCACCTTCTCAGAAGGTGCGACCGGAGGCTAAACGGGTATAGGTTTGCTATGGCCCTCAGACTCTGTTCCATTGGACACGTTGTGTTTTGTGTTTTGGCGGGGCTCTTGGGACGTTAACTTCAGATCCCAGAACCCGAGACGCTACGAACGGGGCTCCTGGCCTTACTCCTAGTCTCTAGAGCTCCAACCACCTCCTGAGAAGATGGTTGGGGTGGGTTTGGGGGGGGTCTAACCACCTCCTGAGGATATGGTTGGAGCCCTAGGGAGTATCTAACAAGCTTCGCGACTCGAACGGAGCATCGGCCGCGTCGGCGCGTGGGGGATGAAGAACGGAGCGAGGAGGACGCCACGTGTTACTTGCATTCGACCCAGGGCCCATTGGGAAAAGACCTGAAACTCTTCCAGTCCTATCCGTCTGGTCGGAATGAGAGACCTAGTACTGCAGGTCCCAGGTCACCTCGCCCCACCTGGAAGGTGGAAAATCGGTCGCCGTCGACCCATTGGGGAAGAGATTCTGGGGATCTCTCATAGTGATGCCAGGAGCCCCGATCGTGGCGTCCTTGCTCCTAGTAGTGGCCAGGAGCCCCTAAGCCTAGTAGCTTCTTTGTTCCTGGTAGCTTCTTGTTACTAGCAGTATGGCCAGGAGCCCCTAGTAGAATCCTTGCACCTAAGATGTACATCTGCAGATGCTTTGTTTACAGTACCCAAGAAACAAAAGAGCATTTATTTGTTGTTCCGCATATCGAAAGTCGACGTACCAAACATGCATCCAACTGGTATGTTAGGGCGTTGGGACGCGCACGTATTTGAGGTGATCGGAACCGTGTGCTTTATCCTGTGTGGCTTCGCACCCTTCTCGCTGCTCAACAAACTGCTTAGTGTTGGTCCCATGGTCTTCATTGGAGCCTTGGAATGCCAACGAAAGAAGACGAATTGGTCCAAACCACCGGGTGACCTTTGCTGATGGCAGTTTCTTCTGCATCGGGTCTTAAAGGTGCTTAAAGGTGCGGTGATAGGGATGATGTTTCATGAGTGTAGTGGCAGCCATGGGCTTTGGTGTAGTGGCTTGCGTAATGACTTGATTTCAGGACGGATATCTTACTGCATTTACCTGAGCCTTGTTTGCATTTCAGATTTTTCAGATTTCAAGCATGTCCCTTTGTTTGTTTCAGTCACGCAGAAGAGGAACGAGTGCAGCGTTTTTTCTTTGCAGGATTCACCCATTCTTGACTGATCAGTTCACATGTTGGCAGCGAAACTCACACCGTTTTACCTCTTTTACCTCAAAAACGGGCCCAGATCGATCGATGTCCCACCCATTGACCGTGAATGGTTCGATTGAACATGCTGGTGATACTGGCAACTCGATTGGTTTGGAATTAAGGCGAACTCTTAGAAGTTGACATCCCTAAGAATCAAGGACCCTCAGTAGTCTCATTTCGGTGAAGGTTTGGTTCGGGTCCCAATCCCTGCGTTCTGGTCCAAACCCTCCAGAAGTGGTCAGGTCCAATGATTCCAAAGGGGATGGTTTTTTCCCTGGACCCTGGACCCTGCGGGGTCTCCTTAACTAAAGCCTAACAAAGCTCCACCTCGCAGTCCTCCATCCGTCGCGGTCCTCCATCCGTCGCTCTGCTCATCGCGGTCCGGCAGGTGGCACGTTCCGGTCCTCTCGCTGTGCCGCTGGCTCACGCTTGGTGGCTCGGTCTGGCAGACAGGGACGGCACGGGAAGTGCCAGCAGGTGTAGCTGTAGCTGTCAGGTCAGTTACCCGTTTGGCCTCCAGTCGTACCTTCTGAGAAGGTGTTTGGTGGATTTGGAGGGTCCAGTCATACCTGCTGTAGGGTTACTAAGAGGAAGGTCATGGAGTCATGCAGCCAAAAAGAATGAAGTTACTATGTCCGTCCCCCCCCAGGCTGTGGTGTCTATGAGCCCGGCCCTTGAGTCAAAGAGGTGATTGGTGAAAAACCACCCCGACCAGGTGATGGAATCGGAGTTGCAGGACGTGACAACTTCGGTGTTGACAGGGTCTATAGAATGATTAGAAGGTCAGTAAAGGGAATCCAACATTGCGCACTAAGAATCCGAACGGGCTCTCCATGGCAGGGGTCGGACCTTCTCCACCGAAACCCAGGGGGGTCCGGACCCTCACAAACCCGATGTGTTGCGAACCGGGCCCGGATTCTTAGGGTGGATGATTCGTCCAGGTGAATCGCGTGGATGAGTCGGAAGGTCGGTCATGCTTGAAGTTGTTTCAATCTGCAAGGCCTGAAACCATGGGCTTTCAGCCTTGAGAAGTGCTTTTCGGTCAAAACATGGCTGAATTTGACATGAAGCAATCTTCTACCATCGTCACACATTGTGAATGTCCATCCACTGTCGATCAGACTTAAGTGAACAATTCCAGGTGGTGAGAGAGACAGCAGAAGAGCTCAGCAGCACTCCAGAGCTAAGGAAGTGAAATGCCCATGGCACTGCGACTCTTCACCTTGCTTCCAACGTCACTTCTAGCGATTGCCACGCACTTCTTCGTGGAGGCACCACTGAGAAAGCTGCACCTGGGCGGGCTTTTGATCTGTTTTTGCGCAGCGTTTCACCACCAAAAAGGCCGGCCCAAGGCCACGGCCAAGGCGTTCGTTCGACCCACGGCGGTCTACACCATTTTTTTGCTTAGAGACCTCAGTAGCGACGGCGCCGCCACGCCGGAGAGCGACACCGAGGCAAATGTCCTCCAGATGGGCACTGATCACCAGCTTCATCGCAAGCATTGGAGCCGCGCTCTTCTTGCTCCTTGGTCGACGTGAGACAGACGGGAGAGAAAACGATAGAAAACTGTTCGATGTGCACGTGCGTATTCCGTGTCATTCATAGCTGCTCCAATTTTGCGGCAGACTGTGCTTGCTCGCATGCTTGTTTTTGTTGATTCTTGCGTTGGATCTTTAGATATTTGTAGTACCCACTGAAGTAGGGGACCTGCACCTGGGCTGCCGTGACTTCCCTAGCTGCTTCCCCTCTAGTTGGCTGCGACTCGGACCAGACGAATGAGACAAGAGTGATGTACATTGGGGTCCACCGGGGCACCGGAACACCCCATGGTTCCACTCACCTGGACGAAAACCAGTACTGGTGCAGCTCAGACTCAGGCAAAACAGTCAGACGTTAGGGTGCCATTCTCAGGTTCCTTGTATACTAT